TCCTTTTGGGCATGACAATTTTGTGATTCTGTGATGTGTCTTACTGTTGTCTCCCAAGACACTTATTTTGATGACTTTCAGGGTTTACAGAGGAGCTTGACTGAAATTTGTTCTTTCCTTGAATTAGTCTTAAGTTTATTTTAATATCTGCCTTTGTCATCTTCACTCCCAAAGACTCACTGTAGAGTTTGTGCTGGGAATATTGAAGACCCCAATGCTTAATTCCATGTGATTGTTTGAACCAGTTGGTCTTTCCCAATTTCTCACTTTCAGTTCATATATCTAATCATTCTAATTCCTGAGAGTTAAATACAAACAGAAGAGAGTTTTTTTAAAAAAATTTCCAGCTCAGCTTGTACACTTCAATGCTTGATTTTACAGATATTCCAGAAATGCTGCTCCTAGCAACAAAACAAAAATATCTTTGTGCATGGGCAATCGAGTTTTTTGAAGAGGTGACAAGAAGATCAAAGAAGGCAGAGAGTGGTATATGTCAGGTATATGGACTTCAGCAAAGCATTAACAAGGTTCCACATGGTAGACTGGCTAGTAAGGTTACATCACATGGGATCCAGGGAGAACTAGCCAATTTGATACAAAATTGGCTTGAAGATAGGAGACAGAGAGTGGTGGTAGAGGGTTGTTTTTTGGACTGGAGGCTTGTGACCAGTGGTGTGCCACAAGGATTGGTGCTGGTTCCACTGCATTTTATCATTTACATAAATGATTTGGATATGAATTTGGGAAGTATGGTTAGTAAGTTTGCAGATGACACCAAAACAGGTGGTGTAGTGAACAGCGAAGAAGATTAGCTCTTGATCAGCTGGGCCAATGGGCCGACAATGGCAGATGGAGTTTAATTTAGATAAATGTGAGATGCTGCATTTTGGTAAAGCAAACCGGGACAGTCAATGGTAAGGCCCTGGGGAGTGTTGCCAAACAAAGGGACCTAGGGGTGTAGGTGCATAGTACCTTGAATGTAGAGTTTCAGGTAAATGGGGTGGTGAAGAAGGCATTTGACATACTTGCCTCATTGGTCAGAACATTCAGTATAGGAGTTGGGATGTCATGTTGCCGCAATACAGGACATTTGTGAGGCTACTTTTAGAACACTGCGTACAATTCTGGTCGCCTTTCTATGGGAAGGATGGTGTTAAATGTAAGAGGGTGCAGAAAAGATTTGCAAGGATGTTGCTCAGACTGGAGGGTTTGAGTTATAGGGAGAGGCTGAATAGCTGAGCCTTTTTTTCTTTGGAGTGTCAGAGGCTGAGGGGTGACCTTATAGAGGTTTATGAAATTATGAAGTGCAAGGATAGGGTGAATAGCCAAAATCTTTTTCCTAGGGTGGGGGAGTCCAAAACTACAGGTTTAAATTAAGTTGAGGGGGCAAAGATATAAAAGTGACTTGAGGGGTAACATTTTCATGCAGAGAGTGTATGGAACGAGCTGCCACAGGAAGTGGCGGAGGCAGGTACAAATACAACATTTAAAAAGCATCTGGGTGGGTATATGAATAGGAAGGGTTTAGCGCGATATGGACCATATGCTGAAAATGGGACTAGATCAGATTGGGATGTTTAGTCGGTGCAGGCAAGTTGAACCGAAGGGTCCGTTTCCATGCTGTATAACTGGATGACTATATTTGGTTGCTAAGATCAAGAAAACATACTCCATATTCTGAATAAAGCTACAATCAAATTAAAGAATTTCTTAATCTGCTGCATGTCATCTTAAATCTTCATTCAATTGAGTGACTGCAAGATTAAAAAGTACTGAGGGTACTTCCATTTATTTTCCCCCCACCGGGCTGTGAAATAAAAATCTTGTGCCTAGAAAATCAGAATAGAAGAAAAAATGAAAAGCGAACAGAAGTGCATTTTCATACAGCTTTTGTGTGGAAGAATTGTGAATTTGAACAATTAAGAAAATGAAAGACTGTATACGATATCAGAAGTAATCAGGCAAACAATGGCAAAATCACTGCAGATTCATTTCACATTCCTTCCTGCAAAAACATGTTCATGTCTTACAGGATGTTGCACCATTTAAATGCCTCACAATTTCCTGAGGGCTATTTGGAAAAACAAACTTGAATTGATTCCATTGACTGAGCTTACAAGTTTAGAATGTACCATGTCTCTCACTGCAGCAGGAGTAACTAAAGTATTTTCTGATGGGTGATTTTTATACCAATCATTTGGCTTAAAAAAAGGGCTAGCATATATTTGTTTTGGTAGACTCCAGGTGGATTGTTTGGGTCTTTTGTGCTTCTCTACATTCCTATGGGAGTTGATTAGCTCAGTTGGCTGAATGGCTGGTTTGCAACCTGCACAGGTTGATGTCCCCATGAAGGTCCTGTCTTAAATATCACAGCTAAGCAGATTGGAGAAAGCTGGAATTCTGAAAGCCACTGTAAACCTATTAAATACAACAGGCATGACGTTCTTTAAGGCTACGTGGTCACTTAGAGCAATTCCCTTGAAATCAGTCAAACCAATGTAAAAACAACAAAATCACTGAATCTCAGTCATAAATTGCATGAAACCTAAATCAAGTTTCCTACAATTTTCCAAAATAATAGTTAGCCTGTCTTCTGATATCATCTCTACAATCAAGTGAACAGCACATCTGCACTATCAGCAGAGGTGAATAAAATTAGTTTTATTCTAAACCTTTCGACTCTATTCTTCCCATAATTATTTTAAAATTCCCAATGTAAATGGATGAATTCTTCAACATTTGAACAAATTGAGAAGTATGTTGAAATGCAGCTTAACTATTCTGGACCAAGGAGAATTGCTTATATGTTTAGCACTGCATGTGTGACCTGCAATTAAACAGGGGCTGAAGATTGCATACAGTAATAACACTGATCTCACGTATTGACTCTTCATTCTAAATGCAATGTTGAATTCGGCCAGTGTGGAGTTGTTTTGTTAGAATTTACCTCAGTTAAAAGTTTACAGTTCATTGGCCCAATTTTAACTGTGAGCGAAAAGATTTTAAAGGGAGTTGTGTGGGAGACACAGGTTTAAAAGAGTAAAAAATGATGAGATAAATGCAAAAGGTGCTGATCCCACTGAGGCTGAATGCTTGAACTGGCTTTGATGTCACTGTAAATACTCATTTTGTCAAATAAATCTGCTGACTTGAAAATGTGATACTCACTGGAAGACATAAATGAACTACAGCATTCTATCTGCTAAGTATAAAATATCGCTGTATTCTCAAATAGGTGACACAGTTCAGCAGATATCACAAGCTAGCAAAGTACTCTGGTGTTCATGTGCATTGTACTCATAATAAAAAGACAAAAAGCTTCATGTCCACCAGCTTCTGTCAAAGAATACTGCATCCATTCGTTTTGCCAATTACACAATCTATTTTACAGTATATTTTGAGTCTCCCACTAATTGACTTCTTTTCTTCATTTCCTGAGGGTGTACACTTAAACTTATCTGCAGCTGTATAAGCAAAGGTCACCCTCTGATGCTAGTCAAGTGCGACATTAGAAAGCAAGTGTTGGTAGCTTCTTCAATGGGGAGGGCAGCTCAACCAAATTCAATCAATGGCCACATACAGACACACTCTTGCAGCAGTTTGAGTAGAGATTCTGGCTGAATTGTGTCCCCCCCCCCAGAATCTAAGAGTGTTGAGGCCACACGCAGTCTCCCACCATAGTCACTGTTCAGCATGTAACATAAATTAATTGAACCCACAGCCTTCCTGATTTGTAATGGTTTATCTATTGCCATGTTGACAGTATTAAAATTGGTGACATTAGATCTGAGAACAGGAAATCTGTTCCAATCACATCTGTTTAAAAGGACCAGGTCAACGTTCAAATTTCGTCAACACTGACATGTGCTCAAAAAGAATCCTTGGGGGCAAAATAAATGAAAATCAGATCCAAAGTATCAACTTTGTTTCGCTCTCTATTGTTGCTGCCAGACCTGCTGAGTTCCTCCAACACTTACTTAATCAGAAAGGTTGAAACTTTACCTTCCTGAATCCAGAGGGCAAGTGCAGCAGGATATTTACAACTTGCCCAAACCAACCGACTCAGCAGAGATTGGAAACTGAACCTGTAACTCCTTGATTTCAGCTTTCCTGCTCCTCTGATGCTGCCTGACTTGCTCTGTTCCTCCAGCTCCACACTTTTATCTCTCTGATTTACGCCCCATTCTACTGATGGAAGAGGAATCAACGGCACACTTTGCCCTCTACTGGTTTGTACATGTAATCATAAAGGACCCAAGAGAATAAGAATCAATTCCAAATGCCTACTTTAATGAGACAGCAATCGCCTGTGGATGGAGTCAGCAACCTTCCCGGCTAGTTAACACTGGCGCTGTATTGACAGGACTGCCCAGTTTAAACTCACCTGGCCTGTTTGTGATTTGAGGGGACCATAGCGTTGGTCTACAATACAGGCCGAGTGTCTCAATCATATGAAGCAACACTGATATATTGCACGGATACACCAAGCTGCTTCGTAACTATTTACTCTAGCTCCCTCCGACCGTTTCTTGTAAGATGTCGAAGTTTTGACGAAAACTAACATAAATCACAAACAGCCCCGAAAAACGGGCAGCGAAACATAACTGAGGGATTCCAGCAACACAAAAGTAGAAAATACAATGGAAAGTCCCTTTTCTATGGAGTTCAGTCGGAATGTGGAGAGATGCCCCTTTTTTTTTGTTTAAGGTTTACGGAGAGGGTTTGATGGTGAATCCTACAGAACAACCCCCGGGGAATCGATGCCGGAGAAACCGCGACAAAAAGGGGGGCGGGGGAAGGAGCCGGAACCAGTGCTTCAGTTTCAGGTCAGTTTCAGTCCGGCTTCCCGCGCCTCGGACATCCACGTTGTAAAACTTTGCATCTGAAGCTGCTCATTTTTGCTCCTGCCTGGGCGACTCCAAAACCGAGGGAGATCCAACCCGAGCCAAGAGTAAGCAGCAAGTGATTTTACAAATCATTACTACAATTGTTTTACTCACCGGCACTGAGTTGGTGGAAACTGCAGACAACCCTCCCACCTCAGCCCGAGTTCTTCAGTGAGGAGTTGGTTGAATTTTGACTTTGTTCCAAAGTAAACAAGAGAAGTTTCCAAGTTGCGGTTCATTATCATAATGTATGTTAATTTGTCCCGTAAACGTGTTTCCTAGGAATGCCATTGGTTGCTGCTGTCCAATGAGGGAGGGACCTGGCTGTTGTTACATTGACTCCCTCACCAGGTAAAGGGCAATATTTTTGCTCAGCCCACTCTCCCTCATCAGAACCTGATAAAGGTCTGCTCAAAACCACACTGGGAATCTTAAATACAATTAAAAACAGAAAGCTGGAAATGGGGATGTATTTCGGTTGGAATCTGAGAGAACCAGAGGTGAGATCTGGTCAGATCTAAAACCAAGGTCAGCTTCTCTTTCAGTCTTAACTTCATGTATTTTCCCCTCCACTGTCCTTCTCCAGTTCTGATGAAAGGTCACCTTGACCTGAAATTTGATTCTGTTTCTCCCTACCCAGGCTTTCAGACCTGCAGCATTTCCAGCATTTTCTGCCTTTATTTCAGATCTGCTTTTGTGTCAGGTCTGCATGAGCTTTTTTTGCAAAACAGTAAAGAGGTGAATAGCTGTCAAGTTAACGAGAGGCCATTGACCTGAAACCCTCTCCCCACATAGGCTGCTGGAACTGTCCAATAGATCCAGCAGCTTCTGCTTGTGCTTCAGCTTTCCAGCAGCCACATTTTTGACATAGAACCATAGAGATCCAAAGCACAGGAAAAGGCCCTTCAGCCCATTGAGTCTGCGGCAGTCAAAAACAACCACCTAACTATTCTAATCCCATTTTCCAGCACGTGGCTCACATCCATGTATGCCTTGCCATCACAACTGCACTTCTAAATACTTGTACTTTTGCTTCATTCGTTCATAGGACGCGGATGTCGCTGGCTAACCCAGCATTTATTACTTATCCCTACTTGCCCGTCAGAAGGTCAGGAACATATGAATTAGGAGCAGAAACAGACCACTGAGCCTCAAGCCTGCTGTGCCATTCAGGCTGGTCTGATTTGTCCACATTCTCGCCACTGCCACTCCAGGAAGGGAGTTACAAAAGGATGAATCTTAGATTTTTTTGATCAAGTCCAAATTGTGTAAAGTTTGTTCTTGGGAGTGTTTTTCACTGGGAGGCAGAGCAAGTCTTCTCACTATATGTTACCATCTCACCTCATTAACTACCTACCCTGCCCTTATAGTGTCCCTCATGTCTGATGCCAGCTCCTTCTTACCATCTTATCTTCATTCCCAGAACAACTCTGTACTCAGCAGGTTAAAACTCAGTTTAGATGGTGTGGCACTACGATTGGGAGAGAACCTCACTGCGACAGCTTTGCTGGCTGAGGAAGAAACACCCCAGGGCAACTGGCACTCAGAAGATTTCTGGAAACTAGCTGCCAATCTGAGATAAATCATGCACTGTCCATGCATTAGTAAGTAGGTGCCTTTAATCATGCAGAGTGGCTAGGAAGGGTTAATAATAAGGGTTTTGTGATGCCGTGGTAGTGTACTTACCTCTGGACCAGGAGACTTCAAGTCCCACCTGCTGGAGCAGTGTGTCATAACATCTCTGAATGGGTTGATTTGAAAATATTCATGAAGTGTTAATAAGCAGTTGGGACACAGAAGCGAAAACTAAACATAGTCTACAGAACAGAACAAGAGACTTGTACGCAGCCAGCCAGAGACTGTGAGCTAGTGTGCCAGTATGGACTGACTAAAAATCACTGCTTTTATTAAATATCATTTCTGCTGTATTTGTTTTGAGGAACTTAATAATTCTATGAAACCTCTGAATACATATTGCATCTGCCCTTCTAAATAATTAGGACTAGCTAATCTTTCAATAGGCTGCCTGAGTTGATTCTACAAATGCCTTAGGTCTTACAATTAAAGTTGAAACTAAACACAAAATCTTGTATCCATACATCTGCTTCCTTTGTTCTTCCACAGATGTTGTGGGTACGGAAGGTACTGTGAAAGAAACCTTGTTTTCCATCTTGCAGAAACAATGATCCCACCATCCATCAGTGGAAGAGGAAGTGAATGTTGAAGTTAGTTGGTGGGGTGCCAATCAAGTGGGCTGATTTGGCCTGCCTGGTGTTGAGCTCCTTGTGTTTTGCAGGCAAGTGGAGAGTAGTCCGTCACACTACTGACTCATGCCCTGTAGATGGTGAACAAGTTTTGGGGAGACAGGAGGTGAATTACATGCTGCAGATTTTGTAGCCTTTGATTTGCTTTTGTAGCTAATGTATTGATGTGGCCGGTCCAGTTCTGGCCAGTGGTAATACCTAGGATGTAGATAGTGGGGCATTCAGTGATGATAATGCCATTGAGTGCCAAGGGGACATGGATAGATCCTCTATTAGTGATAGTCGTTGCCCGGCATTTGCCTGGTGTAAAGGTTACTCGAGCTCTTGTAGCTGTTAAGCAAGCATAGAGTCAAAGAAAAGGTGAAAGGAATGAAGAGGAGAGGAGGGTAAGAACAAAAGGACAGGATACTGGTGAACATTAAGTAGATGAATAAGGGCAGGTAAGTTGAAGATAGATGTGTAAAGCTATTTACTCCTAAGAAAGGGAGAAGATAGTTTAGAATTTGTTTACAAAAAACCAGTCAGAGTAAGGAGTTTGAAGATAGTTTAGACCAGAAGTGTTTGGGTAAAACCCTGAAGGGGTTATTTGAAGCTGAGCAGATTTAAGTTCGGCTGTATAAAGACTACAGGAAGAGGGCATCAGATTCTCCTGCCTGGAAGTGGAAGTCCCCGTAGAGGTGATAGAGAAGGCAATTTTCTCTGGTGTGAGTACCATAAAGTGGAGTTTTTGGGATCTGTAGAGGATTGTTTTGAGATTATATTTTTTATCATGTTTTTAAATCTTTAAAATGATGTTCTACACAAATAGTTTGGTGTTTTCCATTTTATCTTAATTTCTTTTTCATAATAAACAAATGTTTTATAGTTAAAGTCCAAATATGCAAAATATTTAAGTGAGGACCACAAGATATAAGACATAGAGCAGAAATTAGGCCATTTGGCCCATCACATCTGCTCTGCCATTCAATCATGGCTGATCAGTTTCCTGACCCCGTTCTCCCACTTTCTTCCTGTAACCTTTGATCGCTTTGACAATCAAACACCTATCTATCTCTGCCTTAAATATACTCGATGACCTGGTCTCCACAGCCTTCTGCGACAGTGAATTCCACAGATTCACCACTCTCTGGCTGAAAAGTTTCTCCATATCTCCATTCTAAAGGGTCTTTCCTTTACTCTAAGGCTTTGCTGTTGGGTCCTAATCCCTCCTGTCAATGGAAACATTCTCCCAACGTCCACTCTGTCCAGGCCATTCAGTATCCTGTATGTTTCAATTAGATTCCCCTCATCCTTCTAAATTCCATCCATTATAGACCCAGAGTCTTCAAATGTTCCTTATATATTAAGCCTTTCATTCCTGGGATCATTCTTGTGAACCTCCTCTGGACCCGCTCCAGGGCCAGTACATCCTTCCTGAGGTATGGGGCCCAAAATTGCTCACAACATTCTAAATGTGGTCTGACCAGAGCTTATAAAGCCTTACAAGTACATCTCTGCTTTTATATTCTAGTCTTCTTGTAATAAATGCCAACATTGTATTTGCCTTCCTAACTATCAGCTCAATCTGCAAATTTACCTAAAGAAAATCCTGGACTGTGACTCCCAAGTCCCTTTGCACTTCAGATTTCTGAATTTTCTCCCCATATAGAAAATAGTCTATACCTCTATTCTTCCTACCAAAGTGCATGACCTCACACTTTCCCATGTTGTATTCCATCTGCCACTTTTTTGCCCACTTTCCTAACCTCTCTAAATCCTTCTGCAGCCTCCCTGCTTCCTCAATACTACCTGTCCCTCCACCTATCTTTGTATCATCTGCAAACTTAGCCAGAATGTTCTCAGTTTTTTCATCTAGATCATTAATATATAAAGTGAAAAGCTGTGGTCCCAACACTGACCCTTGTGGAACACCACTTGTCACTGGCTGCCGTCCTGAGAGGGGCCCTTTTAACCCCACTCCTTGCTTTCTGCCAGACAGCCAATCTGCTATCCATACTGAGTTCTGAGTTCTGAGGAAGGGTCACCGGACCCAAAATGTTAACTCTGTTTTCTCCCCCGCAGATGCTGCCAGGCCTGCTGAGCTTTTCCAGCAACTTTGTTTTTGTTCCTGCTATCCATACTAGTACCTTGCCTCTAACATCAGGGGCCCTTATCTTACTTAGCAACCTCCTGTGTGGCACCTTGTCAGAGGCCTTCTGGAGGTTCAGGTAGATAGCATCCATTGGCTATCCTTGGTCTAATCTGCTTGTCACCTCCTTAAAGAATCCAATCAGGCGTGACCTCCCCTTGATGAAACCATGCTCTCTTTGCCCTATTTTACTACACACTTCCAAGTATTCAGAAATCTCATCCTTCACAATGGACTCCAAAATCTTATCCATGACCAAGGTCAGGCTAATCAGCCTATAATTTCCCGTCTTTTGCCTTACTCCCTTCTTAAACGGGGGGTTACATTAGCAATTTTCCAGTCTTCTGGGACCCTCCCTGACTCCAGTGATTCCTGAAAGATCACCACTAACGCCTCTTCAGCTATCTCCTTCAGAACTCTGGGATTTAGTCCATCTGGTCCAGGTGACTTATCCAACTTCAGACATTTCAGTTTTTCTAGCACCTTCTTCTTCGTGATGATTACCATACTCACCTCTGCCATTCCCCACCACCACCGGCTCTCTTGAATTTTTGGGATGCTACTCGTGTCTTCTACCACAAAGGCTGATGCAAGTACTTATTCAGTTCCTTCGCTTTTTCTTTGTTCCTCAATACTACTTCTCCAGCGTCATTTTCCAGCGGCCCCGTCCACTTTTGCCTCTCTTTGCCCTTTATACATCCAAAGAAACTCTTGCAATCTTCTTTTATATTACTGGCTAGCTTATCTTCATATTTAACCTTCTCCCTCCTTATTTTGTTTTTAGTTGTCCTCTGTTAGTCTTTTTAAGCTTCC